TAGTTACCCCTGAGTTATTCCTGAGCTATCCCTGAGTTACCCCTTAGTTACCCCTGAGTTATTCCTGAGTTACCCCTTAGTTACCCCTGAGTTATTCCTGAGTTACCCCTTAGTTACCCCTGAGTTATCCCTGAGTTACCCCTTAGTTACCCCTGAGTTATTCCTGAGTTATCCCTTAGTTACCCCTGAGTTATTCCCGATTTATTCATGCATTACCCCTTAGTTACCCCTGAGTTATTCCTGAGTTATTCATGCATTACCTTAGTTACCCCTGAGTTATTCCTGAGTTATCCCTGAGTTACCCCTTAGTTACCCCTGAGTTATTCCTGAGTTATCCCTGAGTTACCCCTTAGTTACCCCTGAGTTATTCCTGAGCTATCCCTGAAATATTCCTGAATTATCCCTAAGTGACCCCTGAGTTATTCCTGAGTTATCCCTTAGTTACCCCTGAGTTATTCCTGAGCTATCCCTGAAATATTCCTGAATTATCCCTAAGTGACCCCTGAGGTATTCCTGGGTTATCCCAGAATTATTGACGGTTAGATGGAATGAGTCCACTCAAATTGCTGGCTTTTTTTAGATAGTTTTTTTTATTGTTTTGTAAAAACACATGGGATGACATTTGTTGTAACATGGTGCTATATAACTGAATTGAAAATAGTTTTTTTAAACTAAAATCCAATTTCTACTATTTTATATACATTTTAATGTAAACTGAGTTATTGTATTAATATGAATCCCCTTTAAAATAACTCTCCTAACTTGTTAAATTTTGACTTGAGTGTTTTTAGATTGTTTGTACACTAAAGTCAAAATTTAATCAGAGTTTTCTCCAACCAGCTCCTGGTAGGTTTTCGTGTGTTTCCATATTCTTTCCATGTCTTGATGATGACCTGAACAGGATGTTTAGGACCTTTTGTCTCTATCCTGACTTGTATCTTTCTCTGACTTAAATTGGGACAGTCACTTCAAAGAGGTTAAATATTTATACAGTCAAATATTTTAAATGAAATAGTTTTATTTTTGTCTTACTTTGTAAAAAAATACAAAGGCTTGGAATAAAAAGACACTGAAAGTAAAATAAATATAAATCTGTCAAAACATCAATTTTTAAAGAGCATGATTGATTTATGACAATAAGAACATGGAACATTGGAGGGGGTGAAAACATCCAAACCCCCAGAACCTGAACCCTAAAACAAGATCTGAACCTTCAGTTGTCTAAATGTCCACAGAACTGTAACATCAGTGTGCTGTGTTCTGATTGGTTCAGGTCATCATCAACAACGCAGCAGGAAACTTCATCTGTCCAACAGAACGCCTGTCTCCAAATGGCTGGAAGAGCATCACGGACATCGTCCTGAACGGGACGGCCTTTGTCTCTCTGGAGCTCGGAAAGAGACTGATCCAGAATCAGAAAGGTGACTGGTCCAGAACCAGGGGGTCAGAGACTGGTCTAGAACCAGACTGGTCCAGAAAAAGGGAGTCAGAGACTGGTCCAGAACCAAGGTATTAGAGACTGGTCCAGAACCAGGGTGTCAGAGACTGGTCCAGAACCAGGGTGTCAGAGACTGGTCCAGAACAAGGGTGTCAGAGACTTGTCCAGAACCAGGGTGTCAGAGACTGGTCCAGAACCAGGGTTTCAGAGACTGGTCCAGAACCAGGGTGTTAGAGACTTGTCCAGAACCAGGGTGTCAGAGACTGGTCCAGAACCAGGGTGTCAGAGACTGGTCCAGAACCAGGGTGTTAGAGACTGGTCTAGAATCAGGGTGTTATAGAGACTGGTCCAGAACCAGGGGTCACAGACTGGTCCAGAAGCAGGGTGTCAGAGACTGGTCCAGAAGCAGGGTGTCAGAGACTGGTCCAGAACCAGGGTGTCAGAGACTGGTCCAGAACCAGGGTGTTAGAGACTGGTCTAGAATCAGGGTGTTATAGAGACTGGTCCAGAACCAGGGAGTCAGAGACTGATCTAGAACCAGGGGTCACAGACTGGTCCAGAAGCAGGGCATCAGAGACTGGTCCAGAAGCAGGGCGTCAGAGACTGGTCCAGAAGCAGGGCGTCAGAGA